ACGTGGCATAAAGAGCCAATGACATTCAGGCATACGGCAGGTAAAGGACAAGCCACATCAGCAGATAAAGATCTGTAAAGTTATTGCCACTGCACATCACCATTAATGTTGCCCATCACAGCATTTATTACGACAACACCTCTCCGTCGGAACAACACCCCCTCACCCTGAACAAGGTAAGCTACAGCATAGACTTTCGGCCAAGGTGACAGATCGGAAGGGACGGCGAAATGATTACCAAAGGATATAAGCAGACATTGAAGACAAGAAGAAAGTTAAGTTTTCTATCTCCAATTCATATCTCTACATTTCACTTCTCTCTCTCTCTAACTTGCTCGTCTGAGGGTTCGCTGGGGGACTCCCCGTTCCCCATTGAACTCCTGTGCAGGTTCTTTGGTGGGCTTGAACACTCAGTTACCGGTTGAAGAAGCGCGGATTAGTCCGACCCATTCCACCTAGGAGCCGTTGTGTAGTAATTGTATCATCAAGTTATATTATACCTTGAGTCACCATAATATATTTTATTTATGTTTTGAGTTACCATAATTTATTTTACGTAATCATATTTTATAAATTATATTAATGTTTCAATTACGTGGATTATTTTCCAAACTCTATTTGTTTAAAATGAAACCCATGAATATGTTTGTTTAACTTTTAGGAAAAAACTTCGTAACTCGAGATTTTTTTGGCTCAAGTGGCCCGGACATTTTCTCTTCCTTTACTCTCCTCTCTGTCTATTCAAACACTCTCTGCACTCTCACCTCTCATCCCTCTCTTTGATTTGGGTTTGATTTTGTGTGAATTCATCCATTTTTTGACAAAGAAAAACAGAGACCTCTCATCCCTCTCTCTTATTTGGGTTTGATTTTTTGATTTTGATTTTTTTTTTCTTCTCTGAAACTGTTTTTTTTTTTCCTTGCGGGGTTTGATGAATCTCTTATTTTTCTTCTTCTTCTTCTTCTTCTTCTTCAACTTCATGAATCAAACCCACTTTGTCTGTTCCAAAAAAAAAAAAACCATTTGCAGAACTCTATGAACCAAAAAAAAAAAAACCATTTCTCCGTAATGAAGACCTAGAAAGAGAGAGAGAGAGAGAGAGAGAGAGAGAGATGGTGTTTCTTCTTCTTCTTCTTCTTCTTCTTCTTCTTCTTCAACTTCATGAATCAAACCCACTTTGTCTGTTCAAAAAAAAAAAAACCATTTGCAGAACTCTATGAACCAAAAAAAAAAACCATTTCTCCGTAATGAAGACCTAGAAAAAGAGAGAGAGAGAGATGGTGATTTTGGATTTGTGATGGTGATCTTGAGGAATTGATTTTGGATCTTGAGGTAATGGTGATCTTGGATCTGTGATGTTGTTTGTTGTTTGTCTGTGATGGTGATGGTGATCTTGAGAAAGATGAAGCTATGTGTTGATTTTGGTCATAAAGATTCCAAACGAAGAATGAGGGAGAGTGAAGCTGTGTCTTCTTCTTTCTAAAGACAGAACAACAAACAACACAGAGAAAGAGAGTAAAAGAAAGGGGACAAAAAAAGAGATACCAAAATGGCATCGTTTTGGAACCTCGAGCCACTCGAGCCATGACAGTTTCGAGCTACCTAGCGGGACTGTAACTTTTAATAATCATTTGACTATGATTATATAAATATTCATTTTTGATGAGTACCACCACAGGGGTTCTATGCCTTGGGGGACTTAAATAACCATTGGCCCTCTGATTAGTCACTTTGTGACCCTCTGTCTGTCATGGATCCACTGACATCTTGTTTCTAGTGTGGAGCAAAGTGCTGTACGGGGTTTAGTGCTACACTATTGTGGGAGCCACCTCTAGAGTTCATACGAGCCACCTCTTGAGTCCATACATCCGTTCTGTTCTGTACCGTGGTTATGATTTCTGGTGTGGAGCAAAGCGTTGTACAGAGCTAAGTGCTACAATATGGTGGAAGCCACCTTTAGAGTTCATATGAGCCACCTCTTGAGTCCATACAACTGTTTTGTTCCATTATGTACCGTGGTTATACTTATTTTGTTTATATGATTTTTGATTTTCATATTATATATTCTGTATTTTAATATCAAGCTCTGTTTAGCCCAATAATTATCCAAGGTGAATTTTATACCCTTATGCTCTCAGTATAATATTTCTCACTCTGCCATGTGCTTATAGTTGTTTACCAATTTTCAGGAAACAATGCAACTCAGAAATAGATTTTGAAGAGTCTTAGATGTGGGGCTGTGGAATAGACACACATAGCACTTTTATAGTATTTATAATTCTATTTTTCATATGTAAATATCGGCCTTATGAGTCAATAAATTTTGTTATAAAAATAGAAACTCCAATGATTATTTTGGTACCTTCAATTAAATATTTTTTCCGCTCGCGTTTAGTAATTTGTTTAAGAATTGACCGGAGGTAACTTTAGTTACTGGCCATCACAATGCTTAACCCTTGGGTACATGGAGCGCGTCGTGACAAGTGGTATCAAAGCCTAAGTTTTTTAAATTATTTTTATTAAAGTATTAGAGCATAAGACACATGCACAAATAGGATGAAGGAAATGTTGAGCTAGATTATAGGTTATATTTAAATTAAATATTTGTGTAGTAACAATCGTGGTGTCATTAATTTTTGCAATTAAGATGAGTTATTTATTATTTTATATATAATTGTATGTATTTTTCATGCTGAATAATTTGAAAAAAAAAAACAATTACAAAAAAGAAAAATCCATATTATATGTTCCGTAGCGTTTGGCAAAAGAAAATAAAATCATTTTGACTTTTTAAGAGTGGGTTCAAATCTATAATCTTTCAAAATTTATTAAAAAATAAAAAATAAAAAAAAATTATAAAAATACTTATTTTGGAACTATTTCCCATCAATTATAAAAATAGAAACTCCAATGATTATTTTGGTACCTTCAATTAAATATTTTTTCCGCTCGCGTTTAGTAATTTGTTTAAGAATTGACCGGAGGTAACTTTAGTTACTGGCCATCACAATGCTTAACCCTTGGGTACATGGAGCGCGTCGTGACAAGTGGTATCAAAGCCTAAGTTTTTTAAATTATTTTTATTAAAGTATTAGAGCATAAGACACATGCACAAATAGGATGAAGGAAATGTTGAGCTAGATTACAGGTTATATTTAAATTAAATATTTGTGTAGTAACAATCGTGGTGTCATTAATTTTTGCAATTAAGATGAGTTATTTATTACTTTATATATAATTGTATGTATTTTTCATGCTGAATAATTTGAGAGAAAAAAAAAAACAATTACAAAAAAGAAAAATCCATATTATATGTTCCGTAGCGTTTGGCAAAAGAAAATAAAATCATTTTGACTTTTTAAGAGTGGGTTCAAATCTATAATCTTTCAAAATTTATTAAAAAATAAAAAATAAAAAAAAATTATAAAAATACTTATTTTGGAACTATTTCCCATCAATGGAAAGTTCACGGATAAAAGAAATGGAAGTTCATCTAAAATTGTTTCAACTCTTGCATATGATTCTGTCATTTCATTTCTATTCGCTCGTTTAATTGTGTTCTCATTTTATTTATTTATTTATTTTTTGGGAAACAAAACCAATGAAAAGTTTTTAAAGTCACCAAATGTTTATCATTTTGGCCCAAAACAGTTTTTGACAAAAAAACAGATTTTGGTACATTTTTTTTGAGGTAATGATTTAACAATATTTTATATCAGATTAATCATCAAATTTGTTCTTGATATATATGTTTATCAGAATGCACAGCAGATAGCTTACACATATCACAAATTTCGAGGACGAAATTTTTAAAAAAAGGGAAGATTATAATAACCCAAAAATTTAAATTGTTCATTAATTTTATATTAGTATTATTTAATTATAAATGAAAAAAGTCCTAAATGTTTAATTAAATATTCTGTAAGAATAAAATAAAATAATTAATTTAATAATGGTAAACGATAAAGTGTAATTTAATTTATATTAGAAGTTATTATGTAATTATTCTATTAATTAGAAGCAATGTAAAATTAAGTAGATAATTATTGAAGATAAACCCACGGATATAGAAAATAAAAAAAGAAGATCAAGAAAGGATAAGCATGCCAGCAAGGTTGGGCCAAGTGGTTGCTTGGGGAGGGGGGCAAATGGATTGGAATAAAGAGGGGCAGGGAAACACCTATAAAAGGGTGCTTCGATTAGGAAGAAGGGAATTAGGGAGGCGTGAATAAGGATTAAAAATGAGGAGTGTGAGTGAATGGAGAAGTAACCGTAAAAGGATTAATATGAAGGTGAGTTATATTATATCTTGAGTCACCATAATATATTTTATGTATGTTTTGAGTTATCATAATTCATTTTGCGCAATTTGTGTTTTATAAATTATATTATCATTTTGAATTTATGAACCTTATTTTATATAATAAGAAAAACCATGGATATAACTGTTTATTAAAATGTGTTTTGAGTAATTATTTTATAAGTACCACTACGGAGGTCCCATGCCTTGGGGGACTTAAATAACCATTGGCTCTCTGATTAGTCACTTTTGTGACCTTCTGTCTATCATGGATCCACTAACTTTCTGATTTTTGATGTGGAGCAAAGTGTTGTGTGGAGTTAAGTGCTACACTATTGTGGGAGCCACCTCTAGAATCCGTACGAGTCACCTCTTGAGTCCATACATCTGTTCTGTTCTGTACCGTAGTTCTGATTTCTGGTGTGGAGCAAAGCGTTGTACGGAGCTAAGTGCTACACTATGGTGAAAGCCATTCTAGAGTTCGTACGAGCCACCTCTTGAGTCCATACAGCTGTTTTGTTTCGTTCTATACCGTGGTTGTCTTAACCTGAACCCGTCCCTAAAGGTTAGGATCATAACCGCCAATAATCATTAAATTACCTACGGCCTCAGATAGGAAACAAATTTTAAATAATTATATGGGGCCAAAAGCGAAAACAAAAAGATAATATTTGTCCAATAAACTTGTGCATAAATGGAATGAACAAAAAACGTTTCTTGTATTAATAACTCACACCAAACATACCCACATAAAAAAACATTCTATGTCTGGCTCCATGTAACACTATATTTATACAAAATCATAGCTCATATACAGATAAAGTCAAATATGACCATCAAAAAAAGACAAAAGGGTCAAAACGATAGTTCTGAAACTAAGGCCTCGTTTGTAAGGCGTGTCATGGTCGACTTCACAAACTTGACATTCTTTCTTGGGTTCATTACGGTTAAAGTTGAGCATCCTTCTACTCACCTGCATACATATATAAAAAGAGTGAACGAAAGCCCAATGAATAATACCATAATAAAGAGGTTATACGAATGAGATTTATATTAAGTACATCGAACCCATAAATTTCATATACAAACAGCCTTAGGCGCATTCTGTATTTTTCTTGTACATATCAAACGGCTTTGGGCTCATTTTAGATCATTATAAGACATATCAAACGGTCTCGAGCCCATTGCATCAAACATATCAGACGGCCTCGGGCCCATTGCATAACTTTGTTAGACTCGTCAAACGGCCTCGGGCCCAATTCAAATACTTCAATGTATCAAAGGGCATTCAATTGAGTACAAATTGCCAAATCTAAACATATATACCTGGAATAATTGGAAACATCCTCTTCTCTAATTGTGCTATTAGCTGGAAAAGTCAAGTAGATCTGTCTTGAATCGGGGTTCACCATTTCCAGCCCACCGTTCATCGGAAACTCGTTCTTATCAAGCCGGGATCGCTCGAATTTGTGCATATCCTCACCCATCATCAACGCCGCAGCGGCCCTTCAACATGTAGAGCAAACCAAGTGTAAGTACGAGTGATCACTTCACAAGAGAGTAACATACGAGTTAAATTATGAAAGAATATATAATGTATATATGTACCTTTGGGTATCACTTTGCTGTTGTTGGAAGAGGAGATTCATGCATTTGTTTGCAACTAGAACAGAAAATAGAAGCCATGAGCTAAGAAGTAGCAGCTAACCTCTGTTGCTGTGCTGATTTAGATCTGACAATCGCCTAAAGTTTGCTTCTTAACTTTATGCAATCAACATAAGTTATGGAAAACAGATATTTGGAATAAGCCATGTAAATAACAGTGAATTGAGTAAGAGATTGAAAGCTGAAATGAAAATAAAAGGATTTAAATAACGAACGAATGAGGAGAACTTCTTAATACCTTTAAGAGTAACAATAGTAGTGAGATTGAAGAAAAGAAGCCACAAAAAATCCCTGCAGAACTAAACTAAATCATCTAATTATGGCTAATTTATCATCAAAGAAATCCATAGCAGCTTTAGGAGATGCAAAGGGACTATTAGGGAGGTTGTGTTCCAAGCTATTATGGATTGCATTTCTGTTGATCCAAAAAATAATATACCTTTCTGGTAAATCAATTTCTTCATGCAAATGGGGGCTTTCTTTGCCAATGTCATTGCCATTGTCGTTACTTGCAATTGATGTTTCTTTCTCTTTCTTTTTCTCTTTATGAGATACATTTGCAATCTATTGCAATTGCTAATCACCCGCAGCAGTTATTGCAGCTGCCATTGTGGGGTTGGATCCATTCTCTACAAGAAAACAATAGATTGGCATCAACATTTTCATTTCTCAACTCAACGTTGATTCTACTAAGCATAATAACCACTGTGACCTAAACAAACAATAATTCAAGGTTAACACATTTCTCAGATTGAAATCAAAATGAGAGATACACCTTCTATGACTTCAGGACTAACATGTAAAATTTACCTCCAAGACTACAATACAAGAACCATTGTAAACAAATAGTTGAAGAATTGATAAACTCTCTTTCTCTCCGTGCTTCATTACCTTCTTCTCTGCCCTGCCATGCCCATGTATTCGTTGGGGCTTTGATAAAGAGATGGACCAATGAGTGAATAAAAGGTCCACACAATTATTCACTCAATAAATTGAAACAAAAAACAAAATGTCAAGAGACAACTCATGAGAACTCTGCAATCCATTAATTTAGTCAAAAGGCATATTTATGCTTATACATGAGAGAGAGAGAGAGAGAGAGATCAAGTGCTACAGTAAACTAATTTCATAGCCAAATGAACAAATATCTCACCTTGTTCCACACCATAAACTTTGGTTAAGCTCCTAAAAATTTGTGTGAGCTTGACCTAACTACCTGGCCACTACTTACCAAGCTCACAAGCCGTGTACTCATTTTTTACATGCTTATACTTTTCTAAAACCTATAATCTCAAATGAAAAGTGTCACTCCATTGTTATTTTTAACTTCAATTTTGAACTTGTCGCTTCCACACAAATATGAGTTGGTGTAATATGAATCCCTTAGATAAAATAGCAATCAAACCTTACGTTTTCCAATTCATCAAAGTACTTGAGCTTACTACGAAGTGCTTCTGCAAATTCAATGAGTCTTTGCTTCTTTATTAGCTGCAACAAAAGCAAGCAACTAAAACAAGTCAAACTAGGGCATTCAACATTGTACACGTATTATTCCATTTTATAAATAAGATAAAATAATCATGTAAGAAACTAGTCATCACTATCTAAGTCAACCTGTGAGATACAATTATCAAAATTGGATTTTAAAGGAAAAAGAAAACACAATAAAACAATTTAACTGAAGCAACCGAAAATGCCACACATATAATCTGACACCCAAAGATTGCTTGTTCCAATGCTAAACAAAAACAGGGCCTATTTCATTAATTATCTAACCATTTGAATATGCTTTGAACTTTTGGCCCTAAAGAAATGTAATTATCTCATGCCATGGTCAGCAGAGTTCTAAGCCTATGCCCTATCATGTTACAAAAGGTCCAAATTAAGCTTTTAACACTTAAAAAAACCTTGAAGCTACACTTTAGAGGGTCAAAATTAACAACAATTGTCACTGGTAATCCTAACCAAGTGAAGTATCAACGTAAAGTGAATAGAAAGGGGTCCATACCAGTCGATCACATGCATCATGAAGAGTTTTGGCCTTTGTTGCCAGTACTTGATGCTGTAGTTGTAATTCATTAAACAAATCCAGGGTTTCATCCACCTACAAAAAAGTTAGTTCAATTAACTGCTTCGTTAATTTGATAAGCAAGAATTAAAACCCAAGAAAAGTTCAACCATATGACAAACTTGTATAATTATTAAAAACAATAAATAGACAAAAGTAAACCAACTAGGCCTAGCCTACTTGGCCACCATGCCTTTCTTAGGGCTTAATCCCAATGAGGTCATGGGTTCAATTCCTCTTAGGAGGGTTGAATTAAGGGATGCAAGCACTTAGGTGCTTTGCCAAGGGTGGAGAGATTTTCTCCCATACGTGCTAATCTAATAACTAACATTTCCCAATAAAAAAGAAATAGACAAAAGTAGAAAAACATGTAAAAGTGTTTTCATAGATCCTTTACCTGATGGAGTATACCGTCACATGTCTGTAAAAGTGTTTTCGTAGATACTTTATCTGATGTCATAGCATTATATATTTTTATTCCAGGCTGTTTCAAGTAACACCAAATCAAGTAAACTTTAAAGCAAGTCATCAAGCCACTGGTGTGGAGCAGTGGTCAGCCTCAAGCTTCAGCACCGACTAACTACAGTGCCCTCAAACAATCAAAGACCGTCCTCCACAAGATGAATTGAACTCAGCGAGGGAGATAAAAGCAAATAGTAGAGAGAGAGGGAAAGCGAAGAGAAAACAAAAAGAAATTTACCGAATCGGCCAGCGGTGAGGCGATCTAAGAGGAGACGATCGTCAGTGACTCGTAGGGCTAGCGGTGGTGGTGATGATCGAGGACGACAGCAATTGGCAACGCTAGTAACAACGAAGGCGATCGACATGGTGAGGAGCAGCAAGAGGCAGACAGAGTTGAATGAGATGTTATGGGGATATGAATTAGGTTTGATTGGGAACTAATTGTTTGTGTGAGAATGTATTTACAATTATTTTGAATTAGAATATATATAATCACACTTATTTAAAATGTGTGATTAAAAAAAATATTATCTCACTTATTAAATTAAGTATGATTAAAAAATCATTTTAATTTTTTTAATCACACTTTTAATAAAAGTGAGATATTTTTAATTCTTCTTATGTGATCTTTAATCACATGTTAATTAGAAAGTGTGATTAAAATATATATATATATAATTATTCACACTTAATTAACAAGTGACATAAAAAATAAATAGTATCTCACTTAATCAAATTAAGTGTGATTAAAATATTAATCTAATTTTTTTATCACACTTTCAATAAAAGTGAAATATTTTCATTTGTCAAAGTGTAATCTTTAACTATTTTTGTAGTAGTGATTATTTCCATATTCGTATCTATGCGCATTTCATATTCATGATCATGATCATTTTTCATTCAAACGGCCTTTGACCCATTACATTCATATTCAATTGGCCTTTGGTCCATCACGATATTCAAACGGCCTTTGGCCCACCAAAATATTCAAACGGTCATTGGCCCATCATATCAAACAGCCTCTAACCTATCATTTTCATATTCATATTTATGCGCATTTCATATTCATGATCATGATTATGATTCATATTCAAATGGCCTCCAGACCATCACATTCGTATTCAAACGGCCTCAGGCCCAATTCATACATATTAAACGGCCTCGGGCCCATTTTGTGTCATTGACACACATAACAAACGGCCTCAGGCCCATTCGTACAGTTTTCAAGCGGCCTCAGACCGAATTCATTCATATCAAACGGCCTTGGGCCCATTTTGTGTCATTGATACACAGAACAGATGGCCTCAAGCCCATTTGTACAGTTCATACTTGACACACTGTAACAACCCGAAAATTTAAGTTGTCCCTTATATTTTATATTAATAGAAATGATTTCAAAAAAAATAATTTTAACTTTATATTATTATTCAATATTATTTTCTAAGTATAATAATATTTTTATTATATTTTTCTATATATTTTTTCTAGATCAAAATACACTAAAATATAATATTTTCGGTACAACTAAGAGGCATGCCCCCAAGTGGTTTCCAGACTACGCCTCTTGCTGCCCATGTCTCCTCTGTTATGTATATCCATCCATCGTCCAAAAGTATCCTCACTTTTTCCAAACACTCTTAGTCACTCTCTCTCCCTCTAATTGTTTTGTTTTATATATAAACTTTTGAGTTTAGTTTGGAGTATTTGATGGGTCGTAGTGAATGAATGGTAAAAGTTAGAATTAATATTAAGGTGAATTATATTAGATTTTGAGTCACCATAATATATTTTACGTATGTTTTGAGTTACCATATTTATTATATACAAGTTATATTTTTATATGTTATTATAAATTATATTAATATTTTAATTACGTGGATTAATTTCCAAACTTTATTTGTTAAAATGAAACCCATGGATATGTTTGTTTATATTTTAAAGAATATTTGACTATGACCTTATATACAATTATGTTTTGTAAGTATCACCACGAGAGTCTCACGCCTTAGGGGACTTAAATAACCATTGGCCCTCTGATTAGTCACTTTGTGACCCTTATCTGTCATGGATCCATTGACCCTCTAAATTTCTGGTGTGGAGTAAAGTGTTGTACGGAGCTAAGTGCTACACTATGGTGGGAGCCACCTCTAGAGTTCGTACAAGCCACCTCTTGAATCCGTACATCTGTTCTGACTGTCACTTCTGTGATCTTTGTTCTGTTCTGTGGTTATTGTCATTTACTTACATAATTTCTGTATTTTAGTTTCTGCCACTTAAATGATTTATTTTCCAAATTGAGTTATGTAAATGTTTTGGCTACATAACTATCCATGGTTATTTCGTGTCCCTTATACTCTTGGTATAATATTTCTCACTCTGCCATGTGCTTATAGCTGTTTACCAATTTTCAGGAAATAATGCAATTCAGAAATAGCTTTTGGAAAGTCTTAGATGCGGGGCTGCGGAATAGACACACACAACACTTTTATGATATTTTTCTATGTAAATATCGGCCTTTTTGGTCAATATAATTTTGTAATAAAAATAGAAGCTCTAATGATTATTTTGGTACCCTCACTTAAATATTACTTCCGTTCGCGTTTATTGATTTGTTTAAGAATTGGCCGGAGGTAACCTCAGTTATTGGTCATCACGATACTTAACCCATGGGTACGAGGAGCGGGTCGTGACACATACGTTCATAAATTCATTTGTGATTTAAACAATAGAATTCTCATTCATAATGTAAAATCACAAGTTCAGAAAACTTATACGTGAGTAGTATTAAAAATAGCATATATGAATATATATTTGCTAAAGTATTACTCACAGTGTTCCGCTGCTCGATTCGTCCTTGCACTTGACCCTACACAATTCGTAATACACATAGAAATCGAGTCACAATACAATTCATTCCGTTCTTTAATTCGTTTAATTCTCTTAGGCTTTTTCCAACTCTTTAGTTCATTTATAATGCTCAACACATGCCTAAGAGTGCTTAGAAGTGAAAGAGAACGAAAATCAAAATATGAACCAGCTTTTCAAAATTTTCTAAAACAGGGAACTCCGCTCAAGTGCAGCTTTAGCCGCTCGAGCAGACTGCAAAATTTACAAAATTTCTGAAAGCTTGATTTCTCCGCTCGAGCGACACTTTCCTCGCTCGAGCAGACATGTCAAATTCTGAAATTTCTAGAATTCTGTTTGAAGCTTAAAACAAATTTCCAAAGGTTCGCTCCATGTATAATACATTTAAATATGCAATGACACTCCCCAAAACATATACATTTAAAGTCATTTCTAACTTTTAGCTCAAATCTCCATGAATTTAACGATTTTAATATTTTTATTTCTTTCTTACAAAGCATAAAATTAAGCTACAAGCTCTTAGAAAAATATTTGCAAGTATAAAATTCAAATTAAAATCAAGTCAATTCTTGATTATCAAATTCTAATTCATAATTAATTTCTTGATTTATCCAAATTAATTTTTCTTCATATCAAATCCAATTTCAAACTCATAAATTCTAAAACAGGAATTAAACTTTCAAAATATAATCTCAAAACTTGGGTTCATACCTGGCTTATTTAAAAACACACAAACTCTTAATTGATCAAAAAGAATATGATCAACTTTTAAATCATTTACATCAAAATTCCTTTAATTTAAAAGTTGAATTCATTTGTTCATAGACTCATAATTTTTCAAGGCTTAGTTCTTATTTCATCAAAACATGAAATCAATTCTATGAAACCTATGATGCATGTTCAATTAGAGTATAAAAACTTATAAAATTTGTTCATGCATGTAGAAATAAAACTCAAACTCATGCAAGACTACAAAAATCAAACTCAACATAATTAATTCACAATTAAACTTCCGTGAATTTGAACCTAATTCTATTTCTTCATCATCTTGCTAATTTCTTTTTAATTGCATAGAATTGAACCTACTTACTTCTTAATTTCAACTTCTAGATAATTTATCTACAAGATTTGAGCTGTGATTCCTTATCTAAAGTTCTTGATTGATGAGTTTTTTATGCATGCAATTTCAAAATTTTAAATTAAAATGACGACACTTAACATAATTTTTCATGATTATGTATGTAACTCATTTCTTGCTCAAAACCCAATTTCTCTCTAATTTCATAAACATGATTCCAAACCCTTCTCAATCTCAAAATATAAAAAGAAATTCCTACATAAATCAAGCTTGAATTTCATACCTCAAATTTTAATTTCAGCAATTAGATTTGATTTCCCCTTTAAATATTTTTCTCTTACAATTTCCAGCACAAAGCTTTCTCTCTCTCAGCTGTGCTCTTCCAGCACAAAATGAATACAAAATGGATACACAAATGCACACTTACACACACAACTTCTCTAGGTGCATTCACACTACACGTGTGCACATTGATCCAAGCTACCAGCACAACACTCTTATACATTCACCCTCAGATTTCTCAGTACACCCACCTAAATTTCTCAGCGCACCCACACCCACAATTCTAGTTTGTTCCATAATATAATTTATGCTTAGGATTAATTTAATTAAGCAACACTTAATCTTAATAAATCTTAGTTAACACATAATTAATTAATCATAACTATTCACAAATCCCACATAATTTAGTTAGTCTAATTTGATTTCCTTTAGAACCCAATTAATTATATTCAAATTTATCAATCTGAATCAGATTTTCAATCAAACTTCCAAAAGACTCCAAATAGTAAATTAAACTTATTATCATCATCAATTTTGATTTCCCAAATCATTTAGGCCTTCAATTTCTGATCAGACTCCAAATTTCCGTCAATAAATTATATATTCAAATTGGACACCTCATAAATAAATTTAATTCGTAATAATCACAATTCTCAATTCTCATAATTTAACTAACTCAATTGACTCCAATTCAGACCTAATTAATCGAATCTCAATTTTACTAAACGGAGTCAAATATTTAATTAAAATCCCAAATGAGTCCGTAATTAAAATTAAATTGATTCAACTTCTTAGTTTCACTTCCTTGAGCCATTTGGACCCTTAATTTCTAATTCCAAAATAAATTTTTAATAAAATCATATACGAATCAGATTCCACCCTTCTCATAGATCCCAAATTAAATTAGGATAACGATTAATTAAAATCTCAAATCTCCTTAATTAACCAAATATACAATATTATACGTGGTGGGGTTGTCACATGGTTATACTTATTTTGTTTATATGATTTTTGATTTCTGTATTTTATATTCTGTATTTTAATATCAAACTCTATTTAACCTAATAATTATTCATGGTGAATTTTATGCCCTTATACTCTCAGTATAATATTTCTCACTCTGCCATGTATTTATAGTTGTTTACCAATT